TATGACCTTGATTATATCCCTCCTGCATTTAGAGACCATCTAAAGAATAGACATGATGCATTGAACACCAATGACCAAAAACCAGAGGAATTGTGGGATGACATCAAGAACATCATCCATGAAGAAAGCAAAAGTTCATTAAAAAGACAGGAAAGGAAGAAAAGACCAAAATGGATGTCAGGAGAAACTCTGAAACTTGCCCTTGAGTGGAGAGTAGCTAAAGCAAATGGAAGGCACTCAAAATACACTGTGGCTGCAACAGTGGACTTGAGCACACCAGTGAGCATGAGAATGGTTAGGACAGGCACCATTTCATTCTGTTGCATGTGCATGGGGTCACCGTGAGTCAGGGCTGACTTTGTGGCAACCAACAGCTATCATATAACCTTGTTAGGCTGTTATATGATTCCCCTTTCTTCAGATGAGGAAATTGAAGCTCAGAAAGATTAAATAACATGCTCAAAGTCACATGGTGGGTTCCAAAATGCAACCATCTTCTGAGTTCAAACCACAGTGTCTCTCTGTCATCTAAGATACTATCCTAAATAAGTGCCAGCTCCATTAGGACATTCCAAGCAAGAATTATTAACCTGAAGAGGGACCCATAAACTTCTTTGAGAAAAATTACCACTTTAGTTTAAATAACTTCTAATGAATTTAGCATTTCCTTCCAATATGAAGGTGGGCAACAAACCACAGCAGTGTCAGCAGCTGTGACTTTGTGTCTGGCAGAACTCTCAGTTAGTTTTCCATATTGCAGATGTCTCAAAATGCTGATTATACTCATCCTCATAAAATTTTTTATTGCTTTTGGGTCCCTGCTAGATACCTTATATAATACATTAACAAATAAGCACATATATTACTATTGCTGTTGCAATATATATTACAATATATGGATCAATAAGCAACACCATGGTGAATAGAGAAAAGAATGAAGTTGTCAAGGATTTCATTTTACTTGCATCCACAATCAATGCCTTTGGAAGGAAGCAGTAGTCACAAAATCAAATGACATATCTCATTGAGCCAATCTGCTGCAAAAGACCTCTGTAAAGTGTTTAAGAGCAAAGGTATCACTTTGAAGACTTAGGTGTGCCTGACCCAAGCCATGGTATTTTCAACAGCCTCCTATGCATGTGAGATCTGGACAGTGAATAAGGAAGACCAAAGAAGAATTGATTCATTTGAATTGAGGTGTTGGTGAAAAATATTGAATATACCATTGACTTCTAGAAGAATGAATACATCTGTCTTGGAAGACATACAGCGTGAGTGCTCCTTAGAAGCAAATGGTCAGACTCATGTACTTTTGTCATGTTATCAGAAGGGACCAGTGCCTGGAGGAGGATATCATGCTTGGTAAAGTGGCGGGTCAGAAAGGGGAAGACCTTCAATGAGATGGATTGGCACAATGGCTGTAATGATGGGCTCAAGCACGACAACGATTGTGAGGATGGTGCAGGACCAGACAGTGTTTTGTTCTCTTGTATATAAGGTCACTATGAGTCAAAACCAATTCAACAGCACCTAACAACATGTTATATATACATATATATGTACATGTGTATGTGTATGTACACACACACACACACACACACACATATATATTATTGTTGTATGCTGTCAAATAGATTAGGACTCATAGTGACCCTATATGACAGAACAGTACTCCCTATAGAGTTTCCTAAACTATAATCTTTACTAGAGCAAATTGCCCGATCTTTTCTCCCACAGAGCAGCCGGTAGGTTCAAACTGCCAACTTTTCCATTAGCAACCACACACTTAACCACTGTGCCACTAGGTCTCCATTATATTACTCTATCACCACTTCAATATTCTAATAATCCTAATTCAATAAATTGGTTTCATTTGTCATTCTGTGTTTTATGCAGTTAAAAACCGACATTGTGAGGATTGTGATCAATGTCACAAAATAAAATGTGTGTGAATTGTTGAGTGGGAAACCAATTTGCTTTGTAAACTTTCACCCAAATCTCAATAAAAGTTATAAACTAATAATAAACATTATTCAGAGAAAGGATCCATAAGTTTCATATGATTGTCAAAGGGGTACGTGGCATACACACACACACACAATGGTTGAGAGTTTCTGATCTAAAGGATGTAGGACATGATCAGAAATTGTGTCTTCATCTTGCTCCTATTAAACACATTGTTTTACAGATATTTTGTATATATATTTCTTCAAGAACTATACAAAGATAGATATATTGATATATATATATATATATACACATATAAATCTTTTCTTTCTCACTATTTCTTGAATCTGTGTTCATCAGCTCTTTCTGGCCAAAAGGTTACTGGGAGAAAGTGGTCAGAGGACCAGAAAAAGTAGATAAAGATGCTCTTAGTAAGAGGATAAATCTGCAGGTTCTTATAAGGGCAGTTTACCTTGTTGTGTGGTTGCTGGTTTGCCTAGTAAACCTTAAGGAGAACCTAGCCCTCCATCACCCCAGCAATCAGGGGCTGGTTTGTTCAAAGGCAAGAAGATGGATGTCTGCCTTCTCTGGAGTGCCCTCTGGTACAAGGATTCTATGATGCTATCATAAGTCAGAACATTCTGACTAGATTGGTTGCCTAGATACCTTGGGTTCCTTTTGTGTGTGTGTGTGTGTGTGTGTGTGTGAGAGAGAGAGAGACCAGAGCTAGGATGGAAGCATGCAAGGTGACATCCTTTAACTTGCTATACACATGCTGAGAGATCTGGCTGTGGCAGAACTTGGTGGCACAGGGACCTGGATTTGGGCAAGGCCCTCTCTGTCCAGGAAGAATAACAAAGGGAAAGATTCCCGGCAGAATCAGGGACCAGGAGCTGGGCATGTCTTAGTAAGGAATAGGGGAACTGAGGAAAGGTAATTTAACAAGGACAATAAGGTTTGGGGTTGACTGAAAAATCTGAGAAGGTGAAGCATTTCCCCAAAGAGGTATGACCTTAAAATATAGAAAGATAATTTTAATAAATCCATACATCATTTCCTCAAAAGTATAATCTTAAGATACAAAAAGTTAATTTTAGTAAATCTAGGACCTGCCCACAGCCGTAACTCGATACTTGTTTACTGAATGTATGAAAAGATATTTTGCAGGAAACTGTCAGCTCCCTCATCAGTCCTCAGCTCTGCCTGGCCTCTCTCTCACCCTCTTAGACTCAGCGGCCTCCATTCCATCTGTTTGAATATCCTGCTTCAGCAAAGGGTGGCGGTTAGTAGTGGGAATCCTAATCTAACGAAGAAGCAGCTGATCCTTGTGAATTGAAGTGGTGTATAAAATTAACTATGTAATTAAGTACACAATTCAAAAGAAAACCAACCCGAAGGACCTACAATGTTACTCTTTTCAGTTTGTTTCAGTCCTATGAGTACTTTTCCCAAGGAAACTTTCTTGGAGGGCTTTCTTTCTTAATCATGCCTCCATCCAATAAGTACTTCACTAGAAGGGTGTAGTGCTGGACTCTCTACAGGGAGATACAAAAGTGTGTCTGACCAAGTTTCCAATCTATTAGGCTAGATGAGAAATTCATACAGATAATTGTGTGACATGGTGGGAAGTCACAGAAAGTTAAGAACCAGGGATCAGGAGTGAGTGTGAGAGAGAGAAAGAGAAAGAGAGATTTCCACAGGAAAAACAGTCAGGGATAGGCCAGTTATACACATTTCTAAGGGTAGAGTGGACACCAATGGAAAATATGTGGGGGGCTGTATTCCTGGGAGGTGGAGGTCAGTTTGGAAGTCGAAAGAACTTCCTGTCAACTCTAGAGGTTCAGAAGCAAGAGTTATAAGATGAACTAGTAAGTTCCCAGCACTGAAGTATTTATTCAAAAGAAAATAGGATAATCTGTAAAAGACACTGTAGAAGAAATCTCTTATATTCTCCCCTGTTGGTGGGAAGTTTGGACTAGATAGATGCTCTCAGCTCCGTCGGACTCTGTGTCCCTCATTGTGCCAGCAGAGCACATGAGCCTGCCAGATAAAATATTAACACTTCACTCAAAGTTAGTTGGGAAATCAAATAATTTATATTCACTTACTGGGTTTCATATACCTGACATTCCTTAAAACAACAATCAACAGCAGCAACAAAACACATGCAAAATGAAAAACAGATGCTCTAAATGGCACTCCACCCATGACACAAGTTTACTGAGGAAAGAAATCCTAAAGGGCTGACATAACTCAAGTGTGAGAAGGTTCCTACAAGGGCTAGCCAGTAATCAATCCTTCCACATCCAAGGGCTGAATACTCCAAAGTCTTTGTTCTCTCTTCACATTTAAAGTCAACATGACAAGGACAAGTTAGCTTGGATCCCCAGTTTATTACACAAATCTTTTTCATTCTCAATTGCTTATCCACAAACATAGGGCCCAATCTACAACTGACTGCTTGAGCATCTCAGTGGGGAATCAGCCAGCCAGGCAACATGGGCCAATTCTGTGTATGTTTTTCCAAGTCCATCAAAGTCAGAGAAATGATAGTTCAAGCCTCATGGGAAAAATCTACTGAAAGGGCATCTCTCAAGTCAGACCCTTTCATTTCAAAAGTTGGCCCATCTTCAGCCTAAATAAGCCAAATAGATACATCATTTAATGTCACTGCAAAACCAGTAACAAGATGGTAAGAGGGCTTGGGTATATCCCTGAGCCATCCAGAAGGTGAAGTCTGCCAAGAAGTTTCTTGCTGGTTCCTGACTAACTCACTGCCAGACGAAAGGCTGGTCAGAGTCCCAGGCACATCATGCCCAACCCCAGGGTGTCCCTAGTTCTCCCTCCATGGCTGCTGTAACCTCTTGGCCACAGCAGTGATCAAAGCTGCTCCCTTTCCGCTGCCATCTTCTGACAGCATGAACGTCACATCGCATTGAGGGGCGAGCTCTTTCACAGTTTCCTGCAATATCCGTGAAAAGCTATGCAGAAGAAAAAGAGAAACATCATTAGTGTTTACAGATAGGATTAGCATGTTTATAAATAACTCCAATCTGGTTTGTCCCTTGGAAATTGCTCCTCTGGTTCTAAACAGCTTCTTAAACAACTGTTTTACCTTCTATTGGGGAACTAGTAAGGCCAAAGATTGTTCTAGGTGTTTTACACACAGATGATCAAAGTGTAACCAATAATAGTTTGAACATTATGATTTTCATCACATAAAGAAACTGATGCTCAAAAGTTAAGACACTTGGCCAAGTTTGCACAACTAGTAAGTTTATTAGAATATGAATCAGGCCTGTCTCTTTCCAAAGCCCACCCCCCCCCTTTTTTTCTCCCAACTTGTTCTTTTCAAAACCTTCAAATTTACAAAATAGTACAATGAACATCTCTACACTGTCTGCCTAGCTTCAACTACTGTAAAAATATTGTCCTGTTTGCTTTATTCATCCATCCATTCATCCCTCTCTCTCCATTTATTTTCTCCCAGAACACTCAGTTTTAATCCTCTGCCTCTCTCAACTACCTTTTAAAATATTAAATCCACTTAAATGGGCATCTTGGGAGTCAGAGTTACCCAACCAGCCTGTGGGGTCACAGAGTTTGTCAGAGGGAAGGGTGTTTGGCCTCAGTTCCTGGGAGGCCTTCACCCCTGGGATCCTGGGTGAATGGTACAGATGAGGTCATCTCTGAGGGCCTGTATGCCAGAACAGGTTCTGAATCTGAATCTAACATACAACCAGTGCGTTATCTCTGGCCAACCACTGCAGCTCCAAGGGGTGCCAAGGGGAGAGGATTTGAGGTCTTAATGGAGGCACAGTAAGAGTGGTTAACCCTGACTTGCCTGCAAGAAAGCAGAAAAATGGCTCAGTACAGAGCCAGGCTTTTGCTTCCGTTTTTTAGTTTATCTTCTTAAATGTACAATTTAGTAGTTTTTAGTATATTCACAAATTATGCATAGCCACTATCTCATCCCAGAACATTTTCATCACTCCAAAAACAAACTCCAACAGTTGTTTCTCTTCCTGTCGCTTGAGTCTTACTGCTTTATATACAAACTCCTTATCCGTTAATATTCAGCAGTTATTCTTCATTCCCACTCTTCCCTAAACCCTAGCAATCACTAATCCTACTTTTCTGTCTCTACGAATTTGCCTATTCTGGACATTTCATATAAATGGAATAATACAATATATAGCCTTTTGTGACTGGCTTCCTTCACTCAGCATAATGTTTTCAAACTTCAACCATGTAGCATATATCAGTACTTTATACCTTCTTATGACTAAATAATTTTCCATTGTATGGATGGACCACATTCTGTTTATCCCTTCATCTGTTGATGGACATTTGTGTTGTTTCTACTTTTTAGCTATTGTGAATAATGCTGCTATAAACATATGTTTTCAGTTCTCTTTAGTATACCTAGGAGTGGAACTGCTAGGTCATGTGGTAAGTCTATGTTTATCTTTTGAAGGAAGTGCCCAACTGTTCCCTAGAGTGAATACACTATTTTACATCTGCACAAGCAATTCATGAAGGTTCCCATTGCTCACATTCTAAACACTTGTTACTGTCTGTCTTTTTTTTTATATATACAACCACCACAGTGGGTATGAAGGAGCTCTGGTGGCATAGTGCCTAAGGTATTTGACTGCTAACCGAGGCTGGCAGTTCAAACCTGTGGTGGTTATGTTTGTGTGTCAACTTAGCTAGGCCTGGTTGAGTGGCCAGGCAGTTGGATGTAGTATTCCCCATGATGAGACTGGTAATCAACTCCATGGTGGAATCTACTGTGAGCAGCTGAGTAGATGCCTTTGGGATATGGTCTGCTTCGTGTATTTATGGAAAAGTTTTGAGAATGGTCTCTAGTCTATGGCACGCTTGGACCCTGCATGTAGCCGTGTCATTGCTCAGCAGCCTGCTATGCTCTGCCGACCTTGGGACATACAGTGGACTTAAGTTAACGGCCTGCCGTGTGGATTGGTAACATCGGGACTGTGCCTTTTGACTTGTCAACCTTGGGGCTTCTCAGCCTCAGCAGCTAGCAGCTGTGTGAGTGAAGAAATGCCTCTAGTTCCAGCGTGCCGGGAGCAGGAGGCAGAACTGGACCCCAGGGTTGAAGGGCTTTCACCCAGCCCCTAGAGCCTGGCACTTTGAACTTGGACTTAAAGCCTCCAAACTGTAAGAATAAACTCTGTTTGTTAAGGCCATCCCATTTGTGGTGTATTCCTGTCAGAGCAGCACTAGGTAACCAGAACAAAACCCAACAGCCACTTCCGGAAGGAAGGTTGGGCAATCTACTTCCGTAGTGATACTGCCTCGGAAAGCCAAGGAAGAGGTTGCTATGAGTCAGTTCTGACTTGACAGCAGTGGGTTTGGTTTTTGGTTTGGTGGGTATGAAGTGGTATCTCATTGTAGTTTTGAGTTGCATTGCCCTGGTGAGTAACAATGTTGATTGTCTTTTCATGTCCTTATTGTCCATTTGCATATCTTCTTGGAGAAATACCTATGCAAATCCCTTGTCTATTTTTTAATTGAGTTACTTGTCTTTTTATTGTTGAGTTATAAGAGTTCCAGATATAAGTCCCTTATCAAGTATAGGGTGTGAAATATTTTCACCCATTCTGTGGGTTGTCTTTTCACTTTCTTGAGAATGCCCTTTAAAGCACAAAAGTTTTAAACTTTGATTGATGTCCAATTTTTCTACTATCTGTTTTTCTTTGGTGGTTTGTGCTTCTGGTGTCATATCTAAAAATTCTATTGCCAAATTCACAGTCATGAAAACTTTCCCCTGTTTTCTTCAAAGTATTTTCTATATGGCGATTCCTTAAAAAGTTGGAAATAGAAATACCATTTGATCCAGTAATTCCTTTGTTGTTGTTGTTGTTATGTGCCGTCAAGTCAGACTCGACTCGTAGTGACCCCTCCTTGGGTTTCCGAGGCAGTATCACTACGGAAGTAGATTGCCCCATCTTCCTTCCAAGGAGTGGCTGGTGGGTTTGAACCGCCAGCCTTCTGGTTAGCAGTCAAGTGCCTTAACCACTATGCTACCAGAGCTCCCAGTAATTCCTTTACTAGGTATGTAACCTAAAGAAGTGAAAGCCAGGACATGAACAGAATTATATGCACACCCATTTTCATCACAGCACTATTCACAATGGCAAAGAGATGAAAACAACCTAAGTGCCCATCGACAGAATGGATAACCAAACTATGGTACATACACACAATGGAATACTATACAACACTAAAGACTACTGTAGAAGCTGTAAAACAATGCATAACATGGATAAACTTGGAGGACATTATGCTGAGTGAAATAAGTCAATCACAAAAGGACAAATATTGTATTAGTTCACTATTGTAAAAAGTTAAGGAAAGGCTTATGGAAGGAAATTTTTTTTGTTGGCTACCAGGGACGGGATGGGAGGGGAGGGGAGAGAACACTGCTAGATAGGTAGAGACAAGTTTTGATTTGGGTGAAAGGAAAGGCAATACACCAAAAGTAAGTGACCAACACAATAACACTAAGGAAAAGGAAGACACAGAGGTGCACAAGCAATATAGACAACAAAGATAAACACTTTTATATACACAATACTGCATTATCAGTGACACAAACATTAATCTATGGGTAAACAGATGGGTAGACTGGCTGAATGATGAGGTATGTCTACACAGAAGGGAATATATCAATGACTGTATATGAGGTTGGCTGACAATATCTCTACATATGTATTTGTATGTGCTGTAAGAATGTCCACATAACTAGAATTAACAGGGGGCAAAGTTATGATAACTTCTTAGGCTCAGTCAAACACCCCAAGGGAGTGAGTAGTTGGACCTATGGGCCATGGTCGCAGGGGACATCAAGCTCAATTGGCATAAACTAGACATACTAGACAAAAACATTATTTTACATTTTTGAGTAGCAACTGGGGTCTTAAAAGCTTGTAAACAGCCATCTAGATGCAACGATGGGTCTCTCCTCATCCAGAGCAAAAAGGAAGGAAGAAAACCAAAGATGCATGGAAACAATCAGTCCAAGGGACTGGCAGACCATGCGATCCTCAACCTATATGACCACGAAACCAGAAGAACTAGATGGTGCCTGGCTATCACTGTCAACTACTTGGAGGGGGATCAGTGCAGGAGATGCTGGTAGAGTGGGAGAACAATGTGGAACAAAACTCAAAATCATTAAAAAAAAAAAAAAAAACAGGTTTGCTGATCTGATAGAGCCTGATAAGACCCCTGAGACTATGGTCCCTAGTCACCCTTCAGGTCTGGAACTGAACTCACTCCTGTGGCTTCCAGCCAAACAATGGACAGGCGTATGGAGTGAACATTTACAGGAGGTAGGTATGCTACTTGGAGGGATCAATCATGGGAGAACAGAAGGGCAGTGTCTGCACAGGGAGACAGTTCAGGGGTGGTGGTGGGAATTCATGGGAGGGAAGGACACAGGGAAGAGGTAACTACGAGGAGAAAGTGGGAATAGAGTTGTTACAATGTGGAGAACTGTATGCAGTCAATGTCATGGGGAAAATGTGTACCAACTGCTGTATGGAAAATGAATTTGCTCTGTAAACTTTTGCCTAAATCACAATAAAAATATTTTTTAAAAGTATTGTCTAGTTTTAGGTCTTACATTTATCTTTGATCCATCTTCAGTTAATTTTTTATATAGTGTGAGGTAGGGGTCCAACTTCATTTTTTTTTTTTCCATGTGGCTATCCTTTGTTGAATCATTTGTTGAAGTTTATTCTTTCTCCATTGAAGAGACTTAATACCCTTGTCAAAAATCAATTGACCATAAATGTGTTTATTTCTGAACTTTCAATTGTATCCCATTGATCTATATGTTTGTTTTTATGCCAGTACCACACTGTCTTGATCACTGTAACTTTGTAGTAATTTTGAGACCTGGAAGTGTGAGTCTTCCAACTTTGCTCTTCTTTTTCGAGATTGTTTTGGCTCCCTTGTATTTCTTTTTTTAAAATTTTATGTATTTTGTTGTTGTTAAGAATATTCACAGAGAAGCACACATTAATTCAACAGTTGCTACATGGACCATTTAACGACATTGATTACATTCTTACAGTTGTGCATTCTCACCTTTTTTCCTGAGTCATTCCTTCCCCATTCACATAAATTCACTGTTTCCTAAGGTTCCTATCTAATCTCTCTAGTTGCTATTGTCAACTTGATCCCCTATAGATAATTCTTACAAGAGCCTAATACTCAAGGAA